GGCCTCGGGGCCGTCGTGCTATCGCAGCTGCGTTCCCGACCGCACCCCTTGGCCTTCCGCGCGGGCCGCCTCGAGCAGCGCGCTGCCTCGTGTCGGCACGGTCTTGCTCGTGTCCTTCGGCTTGCACGGGTCTGGCATAGCCTCCGGGCCGCCTGGTGGCCGCGGTTGCGTCTCCGACCGCGCCTCTCGGCTCCCGCCGCTCCTCGTCATTACCCATCGCTGCTGTGGGCCCAACACTCGCCCGTCGTCCGGGTCGCCGTGCAGCACCTCGCGCGAGGCCGCGGCGCGGCCGCCGCTCGAGCGCTGCACCTTCTGCCGCCTCGGCGGCCTCGCCCGCCTGTCAGTCTTGGCCAACCTCCTCCTCCTCCTCCTCCTCCTCCTCCTCTTCTCCTCCTCCTCCTCCTCCTCCTCCTCCTCCTCCTCCTCCTCCTCCTCCTCCTCCCTCCCCCTCCTCCTCCTCCTCCTCCTCCTCCTCCTCCTCCTCCTCCTCCTCCTCCTCCTCCTCCTCCTCCTCCTCCCCTCCTCCTCCCTCCCCTCCTCCATCCTCCTCCTCCTCCTCCTCCTCCTCCTCCTCCTCCTCCTCCTCCTCCTCCAGGAGTCGCCATATTCGGGTGCATGTTGTGGCAGGCATCTCCCTGTGGCCGTGGGGAGAGGAGGAGGTGCGACCGCTCCTGCTGCGCTGGGGCTGCCCTGCCCTTCGCGTGGACGTCTCGCCCTCGCCGTGCCCTCTTCTTGGTTGGCGGCCCACCGCCCGAGCGGAGCGCTCCGCTGGCCAGCCCCGCGTTGACGTTCGCGGTGTGGCATGTTGCCTGCCTGAGCTGCCTGAGCACTTGCTGCGCCCGCCTGAGTGCCGAGCCTCCAGCGTCGTGCTGGTCGATGCCAACGTTGGCCATAGCATCCGCCCAGTCGTTTCCCTGCTTGGGGGCGGATGGTCCCCCGCCCCCGGTGCCTCGTATTCGTATTGTGCCCGTGCCAAGCAATGCCAAGCAATGCCACGTAATACAAAGCAAAGCGAAGCGATGCGCTCAGCGATGCGCCCACGCAAGAGGCTTTCCTCTAATTGGGGTCGCGTGGGGTTAATTTTTCTATGAGTTTGGCTTTGAGCGAAGGTGGGGTGTTCTAGTTGGCGTCGCCCCGCCAGACCCCGAGCAATCGTCTTTGAGCCATCTTTTTGGCTCTCTTGGGGCCGTCTTGGAGCCCTCGTGGGTCCCATCTTGGGGCTCTCTGCGGCGATCCTGGAGCCATTTTGAGGCCTCAAAATATTGTCGGAAGCGAATTTGCGAGAAGGCATAACTCATTGATTCTCTGTAGGCTTTTGATGAACGGTTTTGATCTCAGCCGTACTGCGGGAGGCTCCGTGCCCACATCGATCCGTTTTGGGGAGGTCTTGGGGGCTCTTGGAGGCATGTTGAACCCGATCTTTTACCATATTGAGCCATCTTGGGTGCTACCTTGGGATGTCTGAGGCCCTCTTGGAGCCATCTTCGGCCGAATAGATCTCTCGGACACGTTGTCCCTCCCTCGTCCAAACCTAGGGGAGGGGGTAGGGGAGGTGTAAACCCCTCCGTGAAAGGGAAGGCGGAGGTTAGAGTAACAACTCTCTAAATCGCCTAGGCCCAGAAGGCTGGTGGATTCGCATGCCTTGCTGCAGCCAGGGCTCTTGTCAGGTGTTCGCCCCTGGTGGAGGCTGAGTAGTGTTTACAGGTGCCGGAACTTTTTTTTCCGTGGTCCAGGTTGAGACGCCTTCCCAGCCGTTTTCGAATCAGTCCATCTGGCATGGTTCTGATTTCTGCGAGCCTATAGGAGTACAATATGGTGGATGTGCAGGGGCGGAGGGAGGGACAGCATCAGGAGGAGGAACAAGTGCTTTGCCTCGGCGCTTCGGCTGACCAATCATGTCGTCGCCCAGGTAGCGCAGAAACGCTACGATGAGTGGAATGGTTGATGACGGTCTCAGTGATCAGGATCGTTTTGAATATTTTCTCAGAAATCCGTATTGCTTGGAGCCAGCAGATTCGTAAGCTGTGGCGTCTTAGCGCTTGCCACTCGATCTCCTGCTCGGCTATTTAAGTGCCTGCCTTGAGACGGGTAATGGACACCACTGCAAACATCCCGATCCTTCTGATGTCACCTACGCCCAGAGGGTTGGTGGGATTGGCATGTCTTGCTGCAGCAAGGGCTCCTCTCAGGATTCGGGTTCGGGGTCAAGGTTTCTTTCATAGTTTCCGAAGTGGTTTGGGCATGTTTTTTTTTTCACGCTTCGCGTTTCTCCACCCGTGTCCGTAACCCCCCTTGGCTCAAGCCGTCTCGGCTCGAGCCCGCCCCTCGCTCAGGTGCGCACTCGGGCCAGGGCCATGTCCGCCCTCGGGGCCAACCTTTCGGGGGCCGCGCTGCGCCGCCGTCAGCGGCTGGTAGCGGCGCGGCGGGACGCCCCGCTGGGGCTTGGCGGCCCCCCGCCGCCGTCGCTCTCGCCGCCGCCGCTGCCGCCGTCGGAGGCGGCCGGCGGCCGCCTTAACTCGGCCCCCGCAGACGCTGGGCCGCCGCCTCCCTGGCTGGCGGTGGTTTCAGCCGCCGCTGCTGCTGCCGCTGCCGCTGCCGCTGCCGGCTCCCCGCCGGCGGCGGCGGCGGCGGAGGGCGCGGTGGCCGGCGCCGCCGCGGCCGCCCCCGCGGCCGCCGCGGCCGCGGCCGCCGCCGCTGCCGCCGCCGCTGCCGTCGCCACCGCTGCAGCCGCCGCCGCCGCTGGATCCCCTCCGGTGGCGGCGGCGGCCGGCGGCGCCGTGGCCGGCGTGTTGGCCGCTGTCGCGGCGGCCGCTGCTGCGGCCGCTGCTGGCTCCCCGGCGGCGGCGGCGGCGGCGGTGGGCTCGGTGGGCCGCGCCGCCGCGGCCGCCCCTGCGGCGGCCTGCGGCGAGGCTGCTGGCGCGGCGGCTGCGACGGCCGCCGCCGCCGCCCTCGACGCCCCCCCTGCTCAGCCGCAGCAACAGCAGGGCACCCCTTGAAGCCAGCAGCAGCAGCAGCAGCAACAGCCGCTGCTGCAGCAGCAGCAGCAGCAGCAGCAGCAACAGCAGCAGCAACAGCAGCAGCAGCAGCAGCAGCAGCAGGGCACCCCTGGAACCCAGCAAACCCCGCCACTCGGGGTAGACCAGGATTCAGTGCCGACGGACACAACGATACCTCAACTCAGAGCGGCCGTTAGCTGCGACCCTGGATCAACTCGGACCCACAGTCCCCGCGGGTGCGTCGGCCACCGCGGCAGCAGCGCCGCCAGGCAACACGAGCCTCAGCGGGCCGCAGTCGGCCCACCCTCGACTGCGCTGATAGAGGGTGGGGAGATCGACGGATCGGGCCGCGGCGAAGGGGATGGGGACCAATCAGTGCAGGAACGGGGGCCCAGACTCTGGATCCTGCCATGGCCCCCCGACCCTGCCCAGAGCCCGACCCCCCCCGAACAGCCCTCCCTCCCCACTCACGGGGTAGACCAGGACCCAGCGCTGACGGCGATACTTATACCTCAACTCAAAGCGGCCGTTAGCCGCGACCCTGGGTCCCCGCGGGAATGGCAGATGCGACGGGTGTAGAAGGAGGCGGAACGGGTCAGGAGGAGGTACCCTTGCACCCTGATGCCCGGTCTCCGGGACCTCAAGGCACTCTTGCATCTCAGTGCCCGAGCCATCTTCTCGACTCCAGCTGCCCGGTTGGGACTGGAGATGCGACCCTGGAGGTCAAGGAGAAGGAGAAGGAGGATGTGGCGGAAGGGGCGGAAGCTGCGGGGGCCGCGGAAGATCGGGGGCCTGAAGCGGCGGAGGCCACTGAAGGTGCGGATGAGGCGCAAGCCGTCAGCCGTGTCCCTGGAGCAGAATCGGGTAGACAGCTGTTTGCCTCCGAAAGTGCGGACGGCAGCCGCGACAGTCCGCGAAGCGAGATCCTGGACCAGCAGGGGCTCGCCTGCCACAGCGTGCCATCCCCACCTTCCCCACAAAATAGGCAGGCCGCCAGCAGTCCTCTGGGGGCGCCACAGACCAAACACGGGGACCGCGGATCAGCCTCGCAGACGCAGGACATCGAAGCCATCCGCCGGCTCGTCGGGAGAAGCCCCTTCGCGCCTATTCGCCCTCCTTCCCCTGCCAGTGAACCCGCCCGAATGGGCGGCGAACCTCGGGCGCGCCCCCCAGACGCCCAGGACGCGCCTGACAAAGAAGTTTGTGCTCTGGCGGTGGGAACGGCGTCGCCGTGCGTGCGCGCGCCCGGTGCGACCGGCGGCGCCCCCGCGCCCGGCGAGAGCTTCGCGGCGACTGAAGGGGGCGCGCCCGTGAGCGATGGCAGGCGCAGGCCCGAAGGCGAACGCCAGCGAAAGGGGCCCCCGAGCTGCCGGAGGCGATCCGGCCCCTGCCTGGCGGCCAACTACGCGGCCCGCGCCAACCCGCAGGGCCCCGCCAGGCGTGCAATCGGAATTGTCGCAAACAGATTTCGAGCCCTCCGACCGGGACAGCGGGGCTGGTTCGCCGGATACTTGCGGCCAGAACACGCGGCAGCGCCAATGGCCAGAGCCGCGCCACTGGCCAGAGCCCTTAGACCCCGACACGGGACAGCAGCTGTACAAAGCAAAGATCGGCACCATCCAGTGGGACCTTCCCGGGGAGACACCCGGCGAGGCGACGAGGCGGCTTCAAGTCACCCTGGGGGCAATGTTCGCAGGCACCCGGCACGCGTTCGCCACGCAGCAGGCCGCGCCTGGCAGCAAAGGCGCGCTCGACCCGCTACGGCACGACCCGCGAACTTGCCTTCGCTTCCTGTGCTCCTTCCGCAGCCACAAATGCGACGCGCGGGCCGTGAGCGACGCGCTGGGCCTCGGCGTCGACCGGGCTCAGCTGCGGCATCGGCGCCCGGGTCGAAGCGGCGGCGCGGGCAGGGGTCGCCAGGCGGCGAAGGGCCGCGCGGACAGCCGCGCACCCAGGAAGGGCAAGAAACAGTGGGTGGTCGTCTCCTAACGTTCTGCGGGCGCGCTCGCCCGTGTTTCACGCCTGTCTGCCGCGCTGTCGGCCGAGGGCCGAACTCCTGGCTTCCCGCGCAACGGCTGACCCGCCGCGCGAGCCTGCGGGCCTTCGCTCCCCCGCCAGCCCGTCCAGGAACGACGGCTTCCCGCGGGGGCAGCCGGTGTAGCCTGGGCGGCGTGTATCCTCAGACCCCAGGCGGCCGTCTGCCGCAACCCTGGTGCGCCGCGACCCCCTGGTGCACTGAGTCCACAAAACTCGGAGCAGCCGTTAGCTGCGCCCCGACGAGGCACCACCCTGGCGGCGAAGGATCCGCGCGAGCCCCGGCCTGCTGCCGTTTCCCTGGATGCAGGTTCCGTTGCCCCCTCAACTGCGCAGTGCGTTCAGGCGGCGGCGCGTTGGGCTGCGGCGGGGGCGGCCGTGGCAGCCCTCGGTATCAGGAGGGGGGCCGCCTGCGCTGTGAGTTCAAATGTCTGAGCAGCCGTAGCTGCACCTCGACGAGGTATCGCGCTGGCGGCGAGGGATCCGCGTGGGCTCCAGGCCTGCAGCCTATCCCTGGATGCAGGCTCCGTTGCCCCCTGGCGGGAGGGATCCGCGTGGGCTCCAGGCCTGCAGCCTATCCCTGGATGCAGGCTCCGTTGCCCCCTGGCGGGAGGGATCCGCGAGGGCTCAAAGTGTTCTTGCATCCCGGTGCCCGTGTCCCGGCTCCGACTGCCCGTTCGGGGTTCCCTCGCGCCCTTGCTGCCTTGTGTCCGACGGCGATCAAGGCCCCATTGCCTCCCCGTGCCCGATCGAGTGCTGCAGAGGGCAAGCCCGGGCTTGGAGACATGCCCCCGGGCGCTCGCCCCAAGCCACGTACAGCGGCGCAGGCCAAGGTGCGACCGTTACAGCAGTCGCCGGCGTGATAGATGAGTTCCGCGCCGTGTCGGTGGCGACGGGCGCTACGGGAAGGTGGAGTGGGCGACGCGGGCTTGCGTCCGAAACATCCGGAGGGCCCCTCCGGCGTGTAGCCCCAGCCTCGAGGACGTCCAACAGCACTTGCACGGGGCGTCGGCGTGTACCTCATCCCAGGCGGCCGTCTGCCGCAACCCTGGTGCACCGAGGCCCCCCTGTGTACTGGGGCCGCAAAACTCATAGCAGCCGTTAGCTGCGCCCCGTCGTGGCACCGCGCTGGCAGTGGAGGATTTGCCGGCCCCTGGGACAGGACGGCCGCGCGGCAAGGGAAGTCAGCCCCGTGCCGTTGCAGTCGCGCACCGTATTGGAGCGACGAGGCAGCTGTCAGCGGCCGGCCGCCCGCGCTGCCAAAGGTGCGGCCCCCTGGACCAACGTGTCCCTGAGCAGCCTTTATCTGCATCCCTGGTTCCCCTGGCACGCTGGCAGTCGCCGCATGGCTTGCGCCCCGGGCGGGCCGTTGGTACCTGTCGCATCTGACCCATTGCAGGCTCCGCCTCCCCTGGGTTCGCCCCGCTCTCTTCTCTCAACACTGAGCAGCGGTTAGCTGCGACCCTGGATCAACTCTGCCCCCCCCCTCTCACAGGGCTGCCCAGGAACCCGCGCTGACGGCGATGATAATACCTCACTCATAGCGGCGGTTAGCTGCGACCCTGGATCCCCGCGGGGAATGGCATATACGACGGGTAAGACTGTGCCCCGACAATGACCGCGAGCTCTGGGCCAGCGGCCGTATCCCTGGGCGCCGGTTCCGTGGCCCCCCCCGGCGGGGGGGGATCCGCGGGGGCTCGAGGTGCTCTTGCATCCCGGTGCCCCCGCCCTCCTCGGCGCCGGCTGTCCGTTCGGGGATCCCTCGCCCCCTTCTGGCCTCGCGTCCGCGGGCGTTCTAGGCACCCTCGCCTCCCCGTGCCCGAGTGCTGCAGAGGGCAGGCCCGTGCTCGGAGGCGGCTCCCGCCTGCTCCCTGACGGGCAGCGCATCGGACTCGTGGTTGTAGAGGCCGCGGCCACCCTGGCAGCGTTGCAGTCGTGCACTCTGAAACGGAGAGGCGTGGCAGCGGCGGGGGGCTGCCCTCCCTCGTTGCAGCAGGTACGGCCCCCCTGGACAACAGATCCACAGCAGGCTGCGTCTACCCTGGGCGTGCTCTGATCGCCCCCTCCATGGGCGCTCCGTCATCGCTCAACTCAGAGCGGCGGTTAGCCGCGACCCTGGATCCATGCGGGGGGTAGCAGAGATTACGGGCACGAGACATAGCCCTGACGAGGACCGCCCATCTGTCTTTCATACGGACTGCTGTCGTACTCCCGGGGGCAGATTCCGACAGCACCTCTGACGGCAGCCGGCCGTCACCCTGGCCTTCCCTTGGACATAGAAGCGGAAGAGGCCGAAGGCCACCCTGGATTAGTGAAAGCGGACCCTGAGCAGCCATTAGCTGCATCCCTGGAGTTCGGGCCCTGGCTTCGGCGCCCTTGCCCCTCGCCAGGTCTCCCTGGGAGCCTCTCCGTGTGGAGGGTCGGTGATGTCTGTCCCCGCCGCCCTTCTCCTCGGGTCCCTCCTGGGCTGGGCAGGCTGCTGGGTTCGCTTGCCCCTGGATCGCGAGGTGGTCGTTCTATGTCCCCGCTCGCCAGGTGTCCCTGGGGGGCCCCTCCGCGTGGAGGGCCGGTGATGTCTGTCCCCGCCGCCCCCCCCATCGGGCCCCTCCCGGGCCGGGCAGTCTGCCGGGCTCGCAGACCCTTGGATCGCGGGGGTGATCGCCCCCCCCGCTCTCAGGGCTCACCAGGACCCCGCGCTGACGGCGGTAATATTACCTCACTCATAGCGGCGGTTAGCTGCGACCCTGGACCCCCGCGAGGAATGGCAGATTCGACGGGCAAGACAGCGCCCCGACGGTGACCGCCCTTCCGTATTTCATGCGGGGGGCTGTCGTGCCTACCTTGGATTCCCCTGCCTCGCTGGCGATGTTCATCCCCGCCGGCCTGGCCTCTCTCACGCAGTGCATCAGTCGGCGACCTTCGCGCAACTGATGATGGGGTCGGCCCTTTGGAGTCTCGGGGCCTTCCCCGTGGTGCACGGGAAAGTGGACCTTGGAGTTGGTGCCGCTTTCGAGTGGTTCAGCCTTCGCAGCCGCGGCCGCAGCTCACCTGGCTCGCACGCGCCGTTGGCGCGACCTAGGCTTGGCGCCCCACTGGCGACTCGCCCATCGCTCACCACCCCTGGACGCCCACCTGGCATGTTGGACACGCAGTCGCTCGCCGCACTCGTCCTCGTGCTTCGCGCGGGCTTTGCCTCGCGGCACACCCTTAATTCCCCGGCATTTTGCTGGGCTGCAATTGCCTGAGCTTCCCTGGGCGCCCTCAGCTTGCCAGCTCTTCCGCGCAGCCTGCCGCTGCCTGGTGAGTGGGCCGGCTTGCCTGCGGCGCGTTTAGTAGCTAATTAGGCCGCTTCCGCGCCCCGGAGCGCTTCTGACTCTGCTTGCGCTCTCGCTGGTGGACGCGACCGAAAAAATATCCCCACCGGCCCGGCGCGTAGCTGTTGCCTCGCGCGTCGCCTCTGCCTTAATGTTCTCGCGTTTCCTCTGCCTAGCTAGTCTCTGCGTAGCCCGGTTTGACCTGGCTCGCCGCCGGCGCGCTCGCCCGCGGCCGCTGACTAAAAAGTATCCCCGCCAGCCTCTGCAGCTTGCAGCCCCTGGCAGTCAGCTGCGCGCCTGCAGCTCGATGCACGTTTGCAGCCCCTGGCAGTTTGCAGTTCTGCCCCATCCCTCGGCTGCTTGCTCCCGGCCTGAGTTGCGGCGGAAGGCCTGCTTGTGCTAGGTAGTTTAGGACCTCGCGCGGCCCGCTCGGACCTTGACGCGCCGTCGGCGCGCTCGTTTGCGGCTGGTAACAAAAGTATCCCCACTAGCTCAGCTTCGCTGTCTGTGACCTTGCCGCGCCATTTTGGCTGCGTTTAGCTCCTTGGTTCATTTCGTGGATCGGCACTGCCCCCAGATCCTGGTCCTGGTTGCAGTTTGCACCGCCCGCCGGCAAGGTTTCGGGCCCTGCCCCGCTTCTTAGCGCCACCTCGCGCAGCCCGGCAGCTTAGGCAGCTTAGGTTCGGCCGTCGGTCCCCGTGCGCTAGACAATTAGGCTCGCGCGTAGCCCGCCCGACCTGTGACGCTGCTGGCGCGCTCGCCTGCGGCCGCGACGGAAAAAAGTATCCCCGCCAGCGTCGCCATCACGTTCGTGCCTCTTGACATTCCCCTGGCGATTCGGAGTCCGCCGTTGAGCGCCTGCGCGGTTTGCCCTCCTCGACTACGTGACTGTGGTCATCGTTCCCTTCGATCCGCGGACGCGGTCTTCGGGTACCAGGGCTCGAATCACTTCGCCGTTTTGGCTCTTCACGCGGACCGGATGTACTTCCTGGTCTTCTTTGATGGTCTTGTCTTCGACTACGTGACTGGCCATCGTCCCCCTCGATTGCGCGGACGTGGTCTTCGAGAACTAGGGCTCGAATTGCGTCGCCGTTTTGGCGCGGCTGCCTCGCTTCTGGACGGCGCGCGGTTGGACCGCGACGCTCGCGAACAAGAGTATCCCCACCAGCCCCTGTTTGTTCTTGTCCTCTTTCGCCCTTCTTCTTCCTTTGTGCTAATTTAGGCCGTTGCTTGTCTGCAGTGCCCTGACGCCGCCCGACCTGTTCCTCGCCGCGGTCGCGATCAAAAGTGTTCCCACCAGCTTTTCTGGACGGCGCGCGGCACTTCCGTTTGCGCTCGCGATCGAAAAAATCTCCACCAGTTTGCCCGGCGTCCGACTGGTTTCGTGCGCCTGCGTGCCCAAACGTATCCCCACCAACCCATTCAGAAACATTGTTTTTTTTCCATAGCTGACGGGAAAAGGGACGAATATACTCATCTAGGGAAACAAAGCGAGCAAGGGGGTGGCCTTGGGAGGCCTTTTCGGGCCATCCCTCGGTGCCGCGTGGGGGCAGACGAGGACTCATGCAACCATCCAGAAGTAGTCTTGCGACTGCTGCTGCTGCTGCTGCTGCTGCTGCTGCTGCTGATGCTCTCGGGGAGTTGTTGGGTCTCTCTTGGAACACTCTTGGTGACCCTGGATGACTTCTTGGGATCATCTTGGAGGCCGTCGATTACAGGATGGGGGGTCCCAAACTCAGCTCCCCCCTTCAGGAGCCAGCGAGCCGCTTCTTGGGGCTCTCTTGGGGCGCTCTTGGGCGCTCTTGGAGCGGTCTTGGGGCAGTTTGGAGCATCTTGGTAGCCATCTTGAGCCAGCTTGGGCTATCCGAGCCATCTTGGAGGTCATCTTGGGCTCTCTGAGGCCGCTCGAGGGCCTCTTAGGGGCCCCCCGGGTGCCTCTTGGGTCCCTCTTGGAACCCTCTTGGAACCCTCTTGGGGCTCTCTTGGGGCTCTCTTGGGAGCCCTGGAGCGGTTCTGGGTCCCGATCGAGGCCCCCCCCCCCCTCGGGGTCACGATCCTCGTGAGGGGTGTCAAGAATGGCCTTCCCACGGGCCGATCTTGGACGCTCTAACCCCTCGTGGGCCCTCCCGTCCAGGTCCAGGGGAGGGGGTAGGGGGAGGGGTAAGCCCGTCCCCGAAGGGGCAGAAAGGGTTTTTGCAAGAGGAAAAAACCAGTCACCGTTAGACCACCTGCGCCCAGAGGGCTGGTGGGAGTCGAACGTGTCGGGGATGAGCCCTTGCGTAGGTAGGGCTCCAAGGCACCTCCCTGGAGGCGAACACCGTCCTCAGGAACGACTCCCTCGGGCAACTGGCGTCATCGTTGTTGCAATGCGATGGGGCTCAACAGTGACGACTTTGCGGCAGCCGTGCTGCTCTGATGCTGACGATTTCAGCTCCTCGGGACCGACGAAGTTTGACCGATGTAGCGCTGCAATGGCGGTTCTAAGAATCGATCGACCCTGGACCATGGATCGTCTCAAGTGTTCATTCTTGGTGGCGGCTAGTGCTCACGGGTGCCAGCCTTTGCTTTGCAGCCTCTGTAGTTCGCTCAGTTTTTTCGCCCATCCTCTTCCCCGAGGGGTGCGAGTCATGCCGTGCCAGCAAGCCGGGTTTCGCACTTGCTGGTCTCTTCGCAGACATCGTGGACAAGGCAAGGCCTGAATCACCGCACGCACTCACTTTCTCCAGCATGGGAATTAGTTGGCTGCTTTGCAAGTCTAGACGCTTCGCGTAACCCCACGAACCCTCCAGAAACGATGCCCAGACGAGTGGCCCTCAGCAGGGATGTGGAGGAGCATGCAGTGGAACCAAACTGCTGGGTATGACGTCATACCCTAAGCGGGGGACGATGGAGGAACAATCGGAGGAGGAGCAGGAGGAACAGGAGGAGGAGGAGGAGGAGGAGGAGGAGGAGGAGAGGAGAGGAGGAGGAGGAGGAAGAGGGAGAGGGGATGGGGGAGGGAGAGAGGAGGAGGATGAGGAGGCGGAGGAGGAGGAGGAGGAGGAGGAAGAGGAGGAGCAGGAGGATGAGGAGGAGGACGAGGAGGAGGAGGAGGAGGAGGAGGAGGAGGGCGAGCAGAAAGGCCAGAGGTTTCTTGGATGCCTCTCGGAGTCTCTTTGGGGCGTCCGGGGAATCTCTTGGCAGTCCCAGGGGCCTCTTGGGGCGTTTTGGGTGCCTCTGGGGGACCTCTTCGGGTCTCTTGGGAGCCTCTCGGGGGCAACTTGTGTGCCTCTTGGGGGCCTCTTGGGGGTCTCTTAGGGGCCTCCTGGGTACCTCTTGGGGCCGTCTTGGAGCACCCCTGAGAGCCTCGGGGGCCATCTAGGGGCCGTCTGGGAGGAGATCGATCAATGGAGGGGCCGTGCTAAATTACGCCCCCCTCCCCCCAGGGGGCCAACAGGTGGCCAACACCTCAGTACAATCCATTATTGGGGCCTTCTCGCCGAGCCCATCTTGGACGCTCCTCCAACCCCTCGCGACCCCCCCCCTCCAGGTCCAGGGGGAGAGGGTCGGGGGAGGAGTAAACCTTTCCACGTAGGGGAAGAAGGGGTTGGAGGAAGAAGCGCCCTAAGCCACTCACGCCCTAAAGGGCGGATCGGATTCTATGATCTTCATCCCGTTGCATAGCGAATGTAAGGGCCAAAGCTACCCTCCATCGCTGCGCTTCGGATTTTTTCGTGGTCCAGGCTGTGACCCACCCATTCCTGAATCTTCCCGCAGAGCATGTTTCTGACCTCAGTCGGGCAGGCCCGTAAGTCACGCCCGAACCTGTGTATAGGCGGGTGGATGCATGCGAGACGAAGGAGGAACAGCAGCAGGGGGAGGAGCACGTGCTTAGCCCTTTCCTACCGCAGCTGCACGGCGCTTCGATGAGGGGAATGGCTTATTTCGGAGTCAGTTTTCAATTGATGAGCGGATTGGCCAGTTGCCTCCGGCAATTCCGCCACCGTGCCCGCGCAGCATTTGGGTGGCCGCTACTCGCGAGAAAGCACGGGGGCCTGCCTGGGGCCTCTTGGGGACGATGGATCGAATTCTGGGTCCGTGCTCCTATTGGGCCCTTCTTGGGGCCGTCTTGGGCCCCTGTTGGGCAGTCGCTGGCGCCTCTTGGGCTGTCTTAGAGCCCTCTTGGAGCCCTCCTGGGAGCCTCTTGAGCCGTCTCGGGGGGTCTTGGGGGCTTCTTGGGCTAATTTGGAGCGTCGGAGGCTCGAACAGGCGAGAACTCAAAGCACATCGAAACAGTTCAGGAGCATCATTGGTTTTTGCCTCTAGGGGCCCTCCAGGGGGCCTCTTGGGGCTTGGGGGCCTCTTTTGGCCCGCTTAGGGCCTCTTTTGGCCCTCTTGGGGCGGAAGGCTCGCATTGCCTGTTCGTGATCGTCCTCTGGGGCCCACTTTTGGGGACGTCTTGGGGCGCTCTCGGGCACTCTTGGGGCGCCTCTTGGGCCGTCGTGGAACCCTCGCGGGCTGTCCTGGGGGGTCTCTCGGGCCGCCCGGGGGGCTCGCCCGGGCCGCCACGATTGGCCCCCCCGTGGGGCCGCCCCGGAGGCACCCGCGGGCCTTGGAGCGCGACCCTGCAGCGCTCTGCGAGGGACGCCAGGCCTCGGGGGGGGCGGGGGGCGAGGCGCGCCCCTGGGCGCGAGGAGAGGGGGGGGGGGGCCTTGGAAAATGGCGGAAGCCCGACCAGGCAGACCTCCTCCTCCTCCTCCTCCTCCTCCTCCTCCACCTCCTCCTCCTCCCGACTCTCTCTCCCCTCCTCCCCTCGTCCCCCCCCCCCCGTCCTCCCTCCTCCTCGTCCCCGCCTCAACGTGCACACGGCACGGTGGCGGATTGCGTTGAGCCAGCCGGTCTGTGGGCTGCGGTTTCACAGCGCTTGTCGCTCTGAGGGGGACGGGGAGGGGGAGGCCTGAGGTCCGCGCCAGCGAAGCGAGCTCGCGGAGGGAGCGGGGGAGGTAGGAAGAGCAAGAGAGGATGATTTCGGAGGGGGGAGAGGACGAGGACGAAGTGGAGAATAATGAGAGTCGTTTTTTTTGTCTGGGCGATAACGCTCGTGATCGCCCCCGCCCCTCCCCCCCCCGATCACGTCACGCTGTTTTCCCCACATGTCTCAAGGAATCTTCCAGGGTTTCAAGAGAATCTCAAGGGTTTCCCAGGAATTCGTCCGCGACCGGGAGGTGGAGGAGGAGGAGGAGGAGGAGGAGGAGGAGGAGGAGGAGGAGGAGGAAGAGGAAGCCAGATGCTTTCGAGGGCCCGTTCGAAGGATTTGTTTAGGGGGTGTCTCGAGCGAAACGCTGGTTCTTAAGCGAAGCGCTTGGGCCATCTTGGAGGTCATCCGAGATCGCTCCAAAACGATGCCTTACAAGAGCGCTTTGCGCATCCAATTTTTTCGAGGACGTCTCAGGCGAAACGCTGATTTTTGGAGGTCCGCGAATTCGACCGACGATTTCAACATCCCCATTTTCCGAGGATGTCTCAGGCGAAACGCTCATGTTTAGCCGCATACGTCTTAAGATACGACCCCCAACTTCACGATCTGGCGAGGATCTCTCATGCGAAACGATAGCTTTTTTCAAACATTTGCTGACATGGACGGGAAGCGCGTGAAAGGGAAGAGGTGCACAAGAACTTACAGTATCATCGCGATCAACTGGGAAGATGACGAACGGGGAAGAGTTGCGCAGGACGGCGAAGACGACGACCGGGTAAGAAGGGAGAGGGGGAGGAGGAGAAGGAGGAGGAGGAGGAGGAGGAGGAGGAGGAGGAGGAGGAGGAGGAGGAGGGGAGGGGAGGGGAGTAGGAGAGGAGGAGGAGGAGGAGGAGGAGGAGGAGGAGGAGGAGGAGGAGGAGGAAGAGGAGGAGGAGGAGGAGGAGGAGGAGGAGGAGGAGGAGGAAAAGGAGCAGCAGCAGCAGCAGCAGCAGCAGCAGCAGCAGCAGCAGCAGCAGCATCATCTCAAAGTGTTCCCAGGAATTCCTCCTCAGTCCCCTCTTCCTCCTCTGCTCCCTTTCCCTTTTCCTTATCTTCCTCCTTCCGAGGGGGTGGGGGTTCGAAAAAGGCTCGGGAGGCCGAAACCCGCCGTGATGTGATCGGGGGGGGCCAACACCCCCCCCCCCGATCACGCCCGTTATCGCGGATCATGAAAAAAGGTTCTAAGTTCGAGGAGGAGGAACTGTTATATGGTGAGGATGACCAGGTCGAGGAGGAGCAGTGAGAGGCAGGAGCAGTGCTCGGGGGAGAGGGCTCCCACATCGCACCCGTCCAGGCAGGAGTGCCACTGCTGCGCGCTGTGGCCCGTGCGGAGTGCAGGCAAGACGCGAGGCGACGTCTGGAGCCTGCCTCGCGCGCGCGCCGTACCGCCTGCCTCCTGGACGAACTCCAGTGGTTCAGCGCCGTTCTGCGTGCCTGGGGGAGTTCTTATCGAGTACAGTCGGCTTGCGCCGCGTTGACGCGGCGTCGACCCCAGCGCAGGCGTTCAAGGTTAAACGCCGCCAGTGGCCCAGAATCGGCCGATGTCGAGCGATCTGTGCTATCGGAGAGCCGTGATCGATCAAGGTGGCACGACCCATGCGGCGTCAGACACCAACGCCCGAGACATCGCGACGCGGGTCGGCCGTGCGTGCCCTCTTTCTTTTTTTTTGTTCCTTGCGGGATTCCTGGCTGCGGCTACGGGCCGTCGGCATCGCCTCGGTCTTCGGGCGTTGCGCTGCAAAAGTCGGCGGCGAGCGATGGGGGGAAGTGAAAAGGGGCGGGCCTTCTCAGAAGGCTCGGAAGTCCCCCGGCCTTCTGAGAAGTCTTCGGAGTCTTCCCCGGAGACAAAACAAAGACTCCTCGGAAGGCGCGAGGGCTTCTGAGAAGTCCCGCCGCCCTCTGAGAAGGCCTTCCCCTTCCCGTTCCCCCCCCGCGCCCCGCCCCCGCGGCACGCGAAGGAGGCCCCGAAGAGGGCTCGCCGCCGAAGAGGGGCCCGAAGAGGGCCCCGCAGAAGGCTTCCCCTTCTCCTTCCCCCCCCTCGCGGCACGGAAGCCTCGCCGCCGGAGGAGGAGGAGGAGGAGGAGGAGGAGGAGAGGAGGAGGAGGAGGAGGAGGAGGAGGAGGAGAGGAGGAGGAGAGCGCGGCACGCGAAGGCGGTCACCCCGCCCCCCCCCCCCGGCGGCGGCGGCGAGAGCGCGCCGCGAGGGGCGCGCGCCCCGCGGGCGGGGGCCGGCGGGGGCAGGCAGGGGCGCGGGCCCCGCGGGCGCGGCGGCGCAGCAGCCGGGCCGCACCCTCGCCGAGCGACGCGGCTCGGGCAGTGCGCGGGGCGGCGTGGCCGCCGGGTGGGGTCGAGTCGGGCCCGTCCCTCTGCAGGGGGAAGATTCCAAAACAGTCAGCAGCATTGTTTGGATTTTTGGTTTGTCCTATTTACATACATATAAATATATACATGTACACACAACCATTTTTGGATGTTTGGTGGTACACTTTTGCGGCATTTTGGATTTTGATGTTTCGTCCCACATCCGCCTGTCGGGGGACACGCCCGACCTAAGGGTAAGGTTCGGAATTCGTCGAACACGTGGCGAAATCCAGACCCTGCCCCCGCCTCCCATCGGTTTGGGAGAACCGTTGGTTGGCAGGGATGGGGCTCGGATGTCGCCACCTGGCCAAGAAAGGTCAGCTCTGAAATGCCCTCACCTTCTGGAGTCGGCCGTCTTTCTGAACGGGCTTTCGGGCCTCCGAGCGACCCAGATATCCGCTGGCTCGGTTTATGCCCGAGGCCCCCAGGATCCCTCGACCCCTTTCCCCAGAGTCAGCTTTTCGTCCCGTCGCGTTGCTGGTGGGAGACCGGCTGCCCCCAGCTCCCAAGCAGGGGTGTGTGTGTGTGTGTGTGTGTGTGTGTGTGTGTGTGTGTGTGTGTGTGTGTGTGGGGGTATTATGGCCAGGGCCATGCTGTCTCCCCAGAACTCGTGGCCCCTCTTCTCATTCCAAGGCGTTCCCTGCCCCCCCTCCCCGGGCCGTGCATGTGCCTCGGGCCATGATTTGCGACCCCCCCCTCGCCGACGCCCCCCCTCCGACCTTGCCAATCCGTGGCGCCAGAGTTCCTAACCGCCTCCCCGGGGGGGTCGTTTTTCATCCCAGAGCTGGTTTTGAGGGTCCCGGACCCGAGAATTGGCCCTGGAGCCCGATTCCTGGAGCAACGCATGGATTAACAAAATTGAGACCAGTGCCCCAATCAGGAGCCTGATTTCTCCTCAAACAATTCAAAGTAGTTCTCGGCAGTGCAGAGCAACATAATGTAAGCCCCCGTTGGCCGCGACTGCGGCGGCCAAAGCAACCCGGGACCGAGAGAGGCAAAAGGAAGCGTGAAAATATTTGCTTGGCATTGCTTGGAATCTCTTAGAGTCTCCGCTAGGCATTGCGCGGCATTGCGTGGCATTGCTTTTAATCGCTTGGTATTGCTTGGCATTGTTTGGCGTTGCTTGGAATTGCTTGGCATTGCCTTGCGTTGCTCAGCATTGCTGCGCACACTTCAGTATTGGCTGGCACGGCGTCGCATGACCTTGCATCGCTTAGCACTGCTTAGCACTGCTTAGCACTGCTTGGCATTGCTTCGCGACGTGGCTTGGAAATCATACCGTGGGGAGATCTGTGTCTCCGAGCCGCTGGAGATCGGGGGGCGCAGGGAAGATCGGGGCCTCCTCGATCGCTGCGCGCGAGGCGACAGCGGCCGATTGCGCGCTTGGATTTGGCCACCTTGCGCCCCGCGTAGCCCGCGCACCAAGAGGCACTCTTGCCTAGGGTCACTCTTGCGTGCAGCCGAAGGTCGAGCGCGCCCGGCGCTCGCCGCTCGCCCCCCCCCCCCCCCTTCACTCGTCGCCGCGCCATCCTTCGGGCCTTCAGGCGACAGGGTGCCTGGGGTCACGAGGAAGCCCCACCGAGCCTGCTGGAAGGCTCGAGCACCCTGTCGCGTCGCGGCAGACATCGCGACGGCCGGCTCGCCCCCCAGCCTCTTCGGCCTCCAGGGGCCCTTGCGCCGTGCCCCCAGGGCCGCGGAGAGGACGACGTGTGAGAGGCAGGGCGACCCTCGGAGGGCCGCGCGGTGAGCAGCATCGCAGCGCCGGGAGGAGGAGGAGGAGGAGGAGGAGGAGGAGGAGG